ACCAATGTACACTAATCACACCTTTCCTGAGTTGGTTACCACCTCATGGCACACTGTGAATTACTACCTGTCAGCAATAAATACCAGATGACAGAGTGCCTGTGCTATCGAGAAGCTGAAAGGACTTACAAGGAAACTTGAAACTGCACAAATGATGAATGAAATGGAATTTTGGACAGAATTTTGGGGAGCCTGAGCATGCTACTCCCAGCTGCCATATGTACTTTAAAAATTATTCTTAGTATTTGAAATACATTTATATCCAGTTTGTCTGTAATTTACTTTCAGCAGCAATGTAGTGTTACCCTCATCAGTGGAAGTCTGTCAAGTGCAGTCACATGAAATTTGAGGTAAAATAAAAAATAAATGGAGAAAGAGTGAAGAAATGAGAAGTTTAAATATCCAAGAATAGTATCAGAAAAAGATTCAGAAGTAGAACATCAAAAAATTCAAATAATGCCAAGCATGGTGACGCATGCCTGTAATCCCAGCATTCCAGAGGCTGAGGCAGGAGGATCACCTCGAGCTGGAGGCCAGCTGGGCTACATAGTAAGTTCAAAGCCAGCTTAGAATATACAAAGAGACCTTGTCTCAAAAGAAATTAAAATAGTGAGAGGGAAATAATGTCTATAATTTGTTAATCTTTCACTGAGGGTTTTCTGAAACAAATTAAAGCAGATATTGAACACAGTGAATTATATCTGCCTATTTCCTATTTTCTATTTCCTTCTCACTGGTTTTTTTTTTTTTTTTTTTTGAGACAGGTATCACTGTATATTCTAAGCTGGACTTGAACTTACTATGTAGTCCAAGATGGCCTCTGACTCCCAAGTGCTGGGATTACAGGTGTGTGGCACTATTTTTATTTTTTGATAACTGTATTTTTTTTTGGTACCAGAGACACTCTACTTTTTTTTTGATACTCTATTTCTAAATCCTTTTCTGTTACTATCCTTGGATATCTTAACTTTCCATTTCTTCACTCTCCATTTATTGTATTTTTATTTTAAATTTTACTCAAATTTCATTATGACTACACACATTTGCCCTATATTCTGCATCCCAGTGCCCCACATTCCAGTGCTCCCTTGGTAAACTGTAAGCCTTCCAGGGCCCAGCTCTGGTTCCTTGTTGATGGTGCTGTTATTTGCATTATGACCTGTATACTTTCTCATGGTAGCTTCTTGCTATCTCTGTTAAAATACTGCTCATGTTGTGAAAATTACTTGTTTACATGTTGCCACTTCTACTCAGTGGTGCTCCCTTTGAAGCCAGGGACATTGTTGTATTCCTTTCATAGTTTCAGTGCCTGACACATAGTAAATATGTTTGCTAAGTAAATGAATTAATGGTTGGATGCATGGAGCACGTTATTTAAAAGCCATCACTTTGAGGAATGGATATATCTGTAAAAAAAACAAGTTTAATAAACTGTTAATGGTAGAATCTAAATGGTGGATATTCACTGTAAAATTCTTTCAACTTTGCTGTATGTTTGAAACTTTTTTCATAACAAAATATTTAGTGTGTGTGTGGGAGGAGGAGACCAATTACCTAAATCTTGGTAATTAAAACACTGCTTAAGATTTTACCTTTGGCTCATTTCATCCATAGAGACCCAACAAAAAGTTGTATTTGAGATCCTGAGAGATCTTCCATAACTCTACCATGTCTTGAGGTAGAGCTAAACTGGCCTTTCAGCCGAATCCTAATGACAGTCAAAGGAGCCTGATTTTGTTGGGAAATTAGGGGTCCTCATCTGTTCTCTTTCATTAACCAGAAACTGCTCTTTCCTCAACTACTAGACTTTCCCTTACTAGGAGGCATTTCCTTCTCTCTCTGATATGATTCCTCACAAGCCTTATCAAACTACTCACATTATTTTTAAGCAAGAGCTTCTTCTCTTTTGAGATGGATGTTATCTGTCCATTCTATTTCTCTATGGATGATAGCTTATAGTATACTGAGTTTTTCCAACTATACATTATGGCTAGCTCACAGGCCACACAGTTTATGAGACCTGACTTGATCCAAAAGTTTAAATCATTGACGCTTCATTTGAGCCTTCCTTAGCAATTTTTTTTTTTGGTACCGGAGATCGAACTCAGGTCCTTGCACTTGCACAGCAGGTGATGAAACCACTGAGCTAAAGCCCCAGCTCCTCCTTAGCATTTTTGTAAACTGTTCCACATAATACTTCCTGTCTTCCTTTATAAAATTTTAAAAAATTAAACATTCATTTAAGTATTTACCTTGAAACACTATAAATTTATAAATGTATTTGAATTGTCCCTAAGAAATAGTAGAGGCTGGCCACAGAAAGTATTCAATAATTACCTGCTAATTAAAATGAACAAATAGTTTTTATGTATTTAAATAGAATCCACATATACTATTGGGAAGTTGAAGAAAACACAAAAAAGTTATGACAGAAACACTGTTGGTACTTAAATCTAACTTTATGAGAGAAAGAGATCCTCTTGCTTTAGGTAATAATGATGTAACATTAGTCATACTTCACAGGATTAATAATTTTCTAAAAATTTCTTCCTTTACTGAGAAGTTTGAAAATATTATCTTAACTGCTTACTTCAGATGAGTATTAATAAAAAATGATTAGTTGGGCAGATGAAATGGTCATTTGGTGTTCTCCAAATAATTCAAGAAATCTCAGGTCAATACTTACAATTTTAAGAGAATTTCTTTAAGGCAGAAACAAGTATTTTTTGTGAGTGATATTAGGCAAACTGAAAATAGTATTGTAAGTTCAACTGCAGAGCTTATATACAATAATTATTTACTACAGAGAAAAATTTTTTTTTTGGTACCAGGGATCGAACTCAGGACCTTGTGCTTGCAAGGCAGGCGCGGTGCCACTGAGCTAAATCCCCGGCTGAAACTTTTAAATAAATCACTAAAATTGCCTGAAACAAAGCTATAAACATAACTTCAAAATATATATAGTTGTGGGCATGCCAAAAGCCAGTTATGTCAGCGATGACTAAGGCTTAATCTATTGAAGTAGGCTGATGAGCATGCCAGAAGTATCTCCATTTAAAAACTAGAATATTTTCACATCAAAATATCCTCTTTACAACTTCTTATCCTTCCCTTCCTCCCTTCCTTTTTTGTGCTGGAGACCAAACTAAGAACCTTGTATATGTTAGGCAAGTGTTCTATCATTCAGTTATAGCCCAGGCCCAAAGTATCCTAAAGAGTGAATTAAGAATAGCATATAACAAAAAGAATAGCATGTGAACATAGTGGAAATTGACATGCCTTGGGCTCCACCAAATCTACGTTCAAATCTTGATTCTACTACTTCCTAGTCTAGTAATTTGAAGAAGTCACTATCCCTCTTAGTGTCTCATCTTCCTCGTCAGTAATAACAACTCTCAGAAGATTGTTATCAAGATTATATGTTACATACACACAGTAAATAAGATTTGTTTTCTACAGCCTCATGGAAGAGAGCTATTTTTATTTAGATCATTTAAAAGCTATATGGGCTGGGGATTTAGCTCAGTGGTTTCACTGCCTGCTGTGCAAGTGCAAGGACCCGAGTTCGATCCCCCCGGTACCAAAGAAAAAAAAGCTGTAACTTTTCTGAGAAAACTATTTCTGTCTGTCATGAATTCTGAGCCCTTCTCAAGAGAGGAAAAGCTGTATTTCTAGTGTGTCCCTTATCATAGGGACAAAAAAAAGATTTTGCAAATTAAAGTTGTGAATTTGAATTAATGTAGGATGAAGTGATACTGTTTAAAAGGGTAAATAACATGTACAAAAAGTGTATTATGTTGAGAGACTAGATACAAAAAAACAGAACTTTTGCAAAAATACAAAATCTTGCAACCTGTCATACAAGATGACTGCTTTTCCTAAAACAAAATTGCAGCGAAACTAAGATCGTGAATATAATTTTAAAAACATCCTTCAAACTGGATGGATCTGACCAAAAGGAACAGATCTCTTTTGATAAGGTTTATAAGCACATTGTTTTCAATTGGATTATATTAACAAATTATTTGACTATGTACTCATGACAGTTTTTTTTTAAAGCAGGGCCCTACAGCAGAGTTTTTTTTACATAATGTAAATTTATGACTTCAGATGTTGTGTATGTATTTGATTGTGACTCTCTCTCTCACTCTCTCTCATATATATATTGGTACTGGGGATTGAACTCAGGACCTTTTGTTTGCAAGGCAGGCAGCAGAACCACTAAGCTAAGTCCCCAGCCTATGGCTCTGAACTTCTTGACTGTACAATATTTGTTGACATAGTCCAGATAATTTCTTTCATAATGTTTTGAATGAATGGCTACTTGAATAAAATACTTTTATTTGAGCTCGATCTCCGGTACCAAAAACAAAACAAAAAAACCCTTTTATTTAAATAAAAGATAAAATATAGGATATTGACATCTGCCATTAGTAAAAGGATTTATTTCCATGAATATAAGAAGAATATTTCAGAGGGAAAATTCCTTTGTCCTTCTTTATAAACAGCTACATAATTATTTTTTCACTTTTCTACAATGAGAAAATCATCATTTAAAACAGTCTTAAAATTTATGATTTCATTATATGCATAACAAATATGAATTGAATCTTCATGATGGTAAGAGAATCACTGTCATATCCAAAAAGAAACAAAAGTTTTCACTTATAAGAATGGCCCATTTAGAAATCACCTGTAGTGTTCTAATATGTCAAACATGGAATAGTAAATGGGAATTGACCTTACAGATTATCCACTCTAACTCCTCATTTTATAGACAGGTAAATTTGGCTCTAGAGAAGTTAACTGACAAGGGCATACAGTTAGAGAAATAGGAAAAAACTTAGGTTTCCTGATTACCATCAGTATATAGACAGACTTTTACAAATGGGCTATACAAACCACACCCTTCCTATGGGCTTATGGCGCTTTTCAAACCCTGGGTAATAGTAGAGGTGATTCCTAGGAGACCACAGGGCAGTTTTCCATGGGAAACTCACCTTCGGTGTTGGAGATGGGGAAGCTGTCACATTTGCTTTCACACTGCTGCATTGACAGTGGCCGAACAGTTTCTGGACATTCACTGGATGTCTGTCCAGTATAGGAGAGACACTGTACAGTTCTCATTTGCTGGCCAAGGCCACACTGAGCAGAACACTAAATTCAAAGACAAAGAGAAACAAAGTACTGATCTTAGCAGTTCTCAGAGGTTAAAAAAAATTACTGTGTAATATTTCAAATACCATATATATCAACTTATTTGGGGCTAGTACTGGGGATTGAACGCAGGGTCTTTGCACTGAGCTACATTGGCAGCCCTTTACTTTTTATTTTGAGACAGGATCTCACTAAGTTGCCCTGGCTGGGACTGAATTTGTAATCCTCCTGCCTCAGGCTCTCAGAGTGCTGGAATTACAGATATTTATCACCAAGCCCAACCACATTCATTAGCTTTAAAGCCCATATGTGGTTCATCTTTGAGAGGTGTACGACTATGTCATTCTACTATAGAATTGGTTCCAAAACTCAAGGATCATATTATTACCCTAGAAAATAGAGGCAATATAGTTAGAAGACTGTAATAATCAGAGATTTCATGGGCTATTACTCCAACAATTCCAAGCAAGGCTGGTGAATTCTAATAGGTAGGCAATGAGAAAATGCCTGGGATGAAATAGAATAATCAGAGATCTGTGTTTATTGTAGATGTGCAGGTAAATAAACTGATGGATTATTGGAGTACTCTCTATCTCATCAAAATGTTAGTTTAGTATAATAACTGACTGTTTTGGGCTTGCTCTTGGTGTCAGTTTAAAATAAACCTGAACAAATAAAAAAAAAAAAAAGCTTAAATAAATATTGTAAGTAGTCTAAGGTACTGTCAGGAACTCAGTCCTGAGAAGTGGTCTGGTGTTAGCCAGTTAGCATGTTTCCCATTCCTTTTTCATCTACTTAGTCATTACTAGTCATTCAGGGCTGAATTTTTCTGAGTGGCTTAGTTTTAGCTAAGATTTAGCAGTGCAGACTGAAGAATGGAGCGGGGTCTGTTTTTTGGGGCCTGCCACCTAGAAAACCAGAAATCCTACGAGATTTGGAATGAGGAGCCTACTGGCGCAAAGATAAGAATGGTATGTTTACAAGGTAAACAAAGTGAAGCCCTGTTGGATTGTCTACAAAACTCTCAAAGTACCACAGGATTTGCAAAAATATTCATATAGACACTTTTAAAAATGAATGCACTATTAAAAGTATACTAAAACATCTTTGAAGATGTATTTTCATTGTTTCTTTTTTTTTAATTTTAGGAGACTGGATTGAAAAGGAAGATGGGAAAAAACAGATTTAACATTTAAAAGAATAATCTCAAACTGACAATAGATATTTGGTGAAATTACAAACATACAAAAACTTTCAACTGATCTTTATATAATAGTGCATTGCAACAAGGAATATATAAGGAAGGAAATATCTAGCTGGTTTAAAATAAAAATCATAAGCACATGACTGTACAGATTCTCCCCCCCCCCTTGATGCCAGGGATCGAACTCAGGACTTTGTGCTTGCGAGGCAGGCACAGCTCTGCTGAGCTAAATCTCTGGCCCTTGTACAGACTCTCCCTCCTTTCCTTTCTTTTTTTTTGGGGGGGGGGGTGGATACCAGGGATTGAACACAGGACCTTGACAGATTCTTTAATAGTACAATATCAATTGTGTATTGTGAAGTTCTGACACTTCTATAGGAAAAAAATTTTGATACTTAATGGCATGTAATTCTTAGAGAGGTCTGAGATCAGAGGAATGAGGAGCCTTCCACTGCAAAGACAGGGATGGTGTATTTACAAGGTAAGCAAAGTGAAGATTTTTAGGTTTATAACATTTTACAGGATTATCAGGTATATTCCATTTGAACATTTTGTAAATCAGGCTAAATATCTATAGCACAGATACAAAATTTTAACTATTTTATAATCATACTTCTCCTCATAGAGCCCAGAGCACAAAAAAAAATCATACTGGCACAGTTATATGCTATTTTGATTTATCTGGGCCACAGATATTAGAAAATGACTAGCTACAAGGCCAATTATGAAACCACAGGATAAGAGCACTCACTGCCTATAAAGTTACTTTCTGCAGTATTAATTTTTAATGTAATTTAATAGTCTTCTTTTTTAACATTTAGAAGAACAATAAATTTTCCTCCTATCCAAGTATACTAACTTGGCTTTTTATTAAATACTCTTTAAAAATTGATGGATATTTACTGTGTACAACTTGACATTGTGAAGTATATCTATCTATCTATCTATTGAAATGACTAAATCTAGCTAATTAATGTAGGCATTACCTCACATAGTTAACATATTTTTGTGATGAGAACCAACTTGTTTTTATAGGGATCAAAGTAGCCTACAGCAAAATAACACAAAGTAAAAGTATGTGAGAAAGAAGAAAGAAAAAATAGGAATTGGAACCTAAAATGGAAATGAGTCTAATATAAAAATACATACCAAATGCCTTATACACTTGATTCTAAATTTACAGTAACCATTGGAGAAAAATCATGTTGATTAAGTGGATAAATAATGGATAAATCATATTAAGTAAGTATTAATAATATTTCTAAGACTGTCAATCACATTACCAAACTAATCAAATTCACAAAAACTTTTCTGTGAGATTATCACAGAGGATAGAATTGAGGATTATCTGTTTTGCAAATGGAAAAATTGAGACACTGATGTTAACTGATTTGTTCTTTAGTTGAGACAGCTAGAATTAGAATCTAAATTTTTGATGGCTTGTTGAAGTCTCCAGCCATCTCATTTTATCTCTCTTAATTTTAAATTAAAATAGTAGAGTCAATAAACCAGGTGTGGTGGTGCACACCTGTAATCCCAGCACTCAGGAGGCTGAGGCAAGAGGATTTCTGGGAGTTTAAGGCCAGCCATCGATACATAGTGAGTTCAAGGCCAGCCTGAACTACATAGCAATACCCTGTGTCAAAGACTCTTCCCCCCAAAAAAGTAGGTAAAAGAGGATTTTATATATATATATATATATATATATATATATATATATATAT